GGAGCGGCGGGGCTGTGTCCCCGGCACCCGGCCGCCCGCATGGCTAGCTTATGCCCGAAATAATTACACAGAAACTGTATTCTTTCAAACACTGCCTGGCCCAGCTAGTTCCAGCTTCTTATTGGCTAACTCTTACATATTGTTCTAACCCATTTCTAATATTCTGTGTAGCCTACGAGCTGGCTTACCAGGGAGGATCTTAACCTGCGTCTGTCTGGGGCGGGAGAATCATGGCGACTCACTCACTAAGCTTCTTTCTCCCAGAATTCTCTTCTGTTTTCTCCACCCACCTAAGGGTGGGCCGATCAAGGGGCCTAGGCAGTTTCTTTATTAATAAGAAATCACTCCCACATCATATGTGCACCCAGGTACACGTGTATCTCCAGCTTCTCTCATCTAGCCTCTCGATGCTTTCCCTTCCACGATAACTACCACACACTGTTTTCACATAGGTCTATTGTTTGGACATACAATCCAGTTAACCACTTCCCTCTTATTAACATTCCTTGTCTCTAATTTCTTGTCAGATAGTAAGTAAATTTGCATTTAAATTACTTATTTTTACCTCTTTTTTTTAAGAATAAATTCTAGCAGTCAAATTATTGAGTTAGTATGTCTAAGCTCTTCAAATACTGAATTACCTGTCAGATGTACTATATCCATAACTAATGACAAGTCCAGGCCTACTATTTCTAAAACAAAACAAAACAAAAAAACAAAGAAAGGACTATATACTTACCGTCTTCAAGCAAATCCGTTATATTTAATTCTAGAGAAGGGAAAATTTTTTGGAACATTTTGAAGTCTTTTCCAAACAGAGGCATCTGAATAATCAAGCATGATGGTGCCTAAAGAAAAAAAAAAAGACACATAGTTTTAGAAACCAAAGTCCTAAGGAGCTGGGGACTTAGCTCAATATAGTGCTTACTTAGCATGTCCAAAGCCTTGAGTCCTAATCCCTGTACTAACGAGTTTCCCTATGAAACTGAAATAGTCATTGCTGTCAAACCCAGTAGTGGTTTCAGCAGGGCTGTTGGCCCATGAAGCAGAGCCCACTTGTGAATGTGCAGTGTGGATGCAGAGCAGCAATAAGCTACAGATTTTCCAGACTCCCCCAGAGACGAACATGATAAAACAGACCACGGCATGCACTGCAGAGATCACACATTCTGACAGTCAAAGAGAC